CCAAACCGGCAGTTAGAATGCTGGGAACGGCAACATTTGCAGAGCTGGTTAGATCGTCTTCCGTCATACTTTTTAATTCAGTTTTTCGTGTACTAATCTCCTCGAAATACTCTTCGCTGCAAAGAAGGCGAAACAGACAGAAACAAAGAATACACCTCCAGTTATTGTTGTTGTTCACGTCTAAATCCTTTCATAAAACCCATCTAAACATTCAACTCCAAAAAACCATGCTTACCTAAAGGCGGCATTGTTCGCCTTTGGTGCAGGTGTTAATTCACAGAAAAGCACAGACTTTTTTGGTTCTTCTTCTCCTTCTTCTGTTTTTACACAATTTCCAATGACACAGCCTACTTTAGTGCTGTCGGCTCCGAGAAGGTGCAGCAGGCTGTGAACCTTTTCCTTCTTCCATATACCTTCCCATTCCGATGCTTCTGCGGGATATGCCGTGCTGTGAAGTAGAAACAATCAGCGCAGCACATCATAAATGTAATTGTTTGAATATGGATGACGTGAAAGCGGAGTCGGTAGCATGGTAGACGAACTATGCATCATCGCTGTCGCTTTGGTTTGTTAAGACAGCAGGTTGAAGCTGTCCCTCGCGAAGATGAATACCGCATCTCTTACCCGAATTCTGTTAGTCCGGTCGTGAGAGCTTCTTGCACCAGTGTGCGATAGTTTGGAGTTGCTGTGTAATCGAAACTGTGAGAAAAGATCGTCTTCTGTATACGCAAAACAGGAATGAAACGACAAAACAACCCTCTTATGTTCAGTCTGTCTGTGATAATCATAGGAATAAATGCATAATTTCTGTCGGGCCTCACAACGGTGCTTAGAGCTCAGACCTGCAGCTGATTATGACAGAGCACTATCCGTAGTAACATCATGGAAAGAGGCATTTTATAGTGTATGCGCTCACAAGGTCCCCTGTTATTAAATCTTCGCACGTGTTTTGTGTACTTTCGCCGGCTTTTACTTTTGTCTCCAAGGCGGTGACGATAGTATCGTCCTTTTCGACTAAACTGGTCTTAGCTGAAATTTGTCCATTACGGGCCAACTTGACTGTCAAGTAGGCATCTGCAAAGAACAAAAGCGGGCAGGAAAATCAATGTGCAGTGAAGCGACCTCCGTCTGACTCAGCCAAGTAGTTCACGGCTAGACAGCAAACAAGACGGGAGAAAGCACCAGGAGTGAGAATTAGAAGCGGTAGTATGTTTACCTTCGTCTACTTTTACTGCCTGATATTTATATTGTCCTGCGGCGTTAGCCTCGGACTGGAGCCAACTCAGCCCGGCGAGGCAGAATGCTGCTGCGGCCTTGTAAAGGGGAGCCATTGCAACGGAATTCAGAAAAGAATATTTTTAAAAAATGTTTTCTCAGCAAGAGAAATGTAGAGATTCAAATTGAGGAGAGCGGAAAAGACGGCAAGCAGTTCGGAGTTCTTTGCGTGGTCCTGCAGTCGCGTGAACGGCGAATGGCAAAAAACGGGACAGCAAAGCCAAAATTGCAAGCAAAAGATAAAACTAATTAAATTAATATTGAGCAAAAAAAAACAAACAGAAATTGTTGTGCACAACTTATCCTCTGAAATAAACCATTTAATTTACACAAATGCAAAAAACAAGCAACACAAGAGAAGCGGCAGGTCGGCAGGCGCGGCAGGTCGAGGTGGTAAGAGGAAAGATCTCTGTGGGTTGTTGCTTCCGCCTTGGTTTCGGGTTACGTCTGCCTACTCATACCACTCAACGGACATAAGCCAATTAAACAAATCATTTTAGTTCAAATTCAATCTAGATACACCTCGAAGAACGCCTTTTATGCGTGAGCCATCCCTCTGCCTCCTGCTCATTGCGGGGGGTGCTGTGGCCGCCTCCCGGTGCTCTACGACTGGGCTTTTTTGCGCTGTGACGGCCTTCATGTGCCCTTTAGCCGTGGATAGTGTTATGGCTTAGTGCCACATGCAGACAGCGCAAGCAGCGGCAATGGTGTACGGCAGCTTCCTTGGTGTTTGCAAACGTCTCCAGAGCCAGTGGTTTGGTTGTTGTGACGGTCTCAGCGAAGGGTCGATGCTGGCGTTTGCACAGGCAATGAAACATCAATTCCCCTCCCTAAACCAAAATAATAATTAATTAATTTATTAAGTTGTTTAAATGCAAACAAACACCGTGGATATACCCCAGCTAGTCTCGAAAAAAGTTGAACAGAAGTTCTAGGTCCTACGGTTGAGGGTGTAGGGTTTCGGGTTGTATGGTTAGGCAATTGAAACAGGGCCTGAAGCCCGATCCGCCCGAAACTATTTTTTGGATTTCTGGTGGAGTGCGGGCTGGTTGCTGACGGCCAATGAATGGGTTAGCATTTACCTGCAGTGTTAATCTATGCGGCGGAGTGGTGCGTGGATATGCATACCTAGGATCATCATGAGCTGCAGCAGAGTGAACACTTAAGACGAAAGTTTTAAAAAACACCTGCTGATAATCTCCTCTGCATTCTTTATATACCCCAGGCACGGCGGTACAATGGCCTGAGATTGATGTTCAGAGGGGGTGACCTCTAGCGAGTTGCAACAAACCCTGCTGCTGCAACAAACCCTGCTGCTGCCTCCTGCAGAGCGGTTGCAGATTAGAGCATAAGAAGCTGCTTTGATCTTCTTAGCTAGTTTGTTAAATTAAGATGTGGACTTCTCTTTTCTCTCAAAAGCATTTACTTCTTTCTGGGGAGCCGCCTGTACAACTCTGCGTCGTTGAGTTCAAGGCGGTGGCGCGGGGAGTAGAACAAGCTGAATTTCAGAGTACTATTGAACAGAATCATGAGTTATGTTCAAGGAACAGACAAAATATGAACAATAAATAAAATATATACTTTTTCATGAACGTTGTTGTAGGCAATACTAAATAATAAGTTGGATGAAATACTTCTCTATCCACATTGACCGCAGAAAGACTTCCTATAAATCTGTTCTTGGGCAGCTTAGTTATACAAGACGAGCCAAGGCATAAATATACGGTACTACTGTAACAACATATATATATATATATATATATATATATATATA